TGAATATTATAAATATAGTTTTTATACCGTACCCATTGGCATGCCAAATTTGTTTTTGTCATGCCACTGTTGGCATGCCTTTACCACTATGCCAAACACCCTAATCATTATTCACCACTACTGCCAGACGGATATAAATAAACTTACTTGTTCTTCGAACTTTTTATTTTCCAGAGAATCTTTATGAATATATTTCATCATCGCTGTCTGTTTTAGATAGCCTTTCAGAATATCCCCATAAAGCGGATCACTCACTAATCTAGGTTCTTCGATTCTCTTATGATTGATTACGTTTATATTGTTTCTCTGTCGGAAGAGTGTTAATCCTTTGTTCCAATTGGAGATTTTAAGTGTATTATTGATGGTATCATATTTCGATATCAATGCTAAATTATTACTGGACTCATTGGGAGTATTATTTTTTTTACATGGTTCGCCGTTAAATTGATCATGACTTTCTAGTGCTAAATCATTGGGAGTATTATTTTGACATGGATCGTCGTTAAATTTATCTTGACTTTCTAATTTCAAATCATTACTGGATTCATTGGGTGTATTATTTTTTTGACATGGATCGTCGTTAAATTTATCTTGACTTTCTAATGCCTAATCATTACTGGAATCATTGGGTTTGGCATGGATCGTCGTTAAATTTACCTTGATTTTCTAAATGATGTCAGTAAAAATTTGATAGAAATAAATGTCAAAATTTTGTTTGAAATATATTACCATCATGATACTCATCTGAATTGAGGTTCTTAGTCTTATTATCAAGAGAGTCTAATGATTCTGAATAGCTTATCTTAGGTTGCGCTGTTAATTGATTATTAATATTGATGTTATTTATGTTATTTGAAACGAACTCAACAGGTGCATTTGCTGATAACTTTTCAAGCTCTTTTAAAATTTCAATTAGTGTTGGACGCTGATCTAAATCTGAGGACCAACATTTTTTGAAGAGACAAGCATAATCTGGAGGAGTTTTGTCAATAATTTTCACTTGATTATTTTTCGAAATATAAACGCTTAAGCCTAAAAGATCTAAATTAAGATCACTGAATGGTGGAATTCCGCTTGTGAGTTCCCAGAATAACATTCCTAAGCTATAAATGTCTGACTTTTTATCGCGTTTACCACAGTATGGATCAATGTATGCTAACATGCCTATTAGACTTGAACTTGAGCTTGAATCGGTAGTGTCGTTTAGCTGTCTCGATACCCCAAAATCCGCAATCAAAGCCTTGCCATCATTCAACAAAATATTCTTGGAATGCTAAAAATTTAACAAGTAATGATTCTAAGTTATGTTTAATTCGAAATTGATGTTGAAATTTAAAAATAAGCTTACAAGATCTCGGTGGATAATATCTTTATCATGCAGACATATTAGTCCAAGTGTAATATCCTTGGAAATTTGGATGAGCTCATTCCATGAGATTTTATAATGTGTATCTCTTTTCTTCTCATGTAAATAATTTCGTAGACATCCTCCATTGGCAAATTGTAATACCAGCATGAAGTTGCCAGTTTGCAGATCTAAATTTTTTTGGCAAAACCTTTAATTTAAATATTAATTTGATTTTAAAATTTAATTTTATTTTACATGCCTCTTGAAGTCCCATAGAGTTTGACAATGTTAGGATGACTAACTGCATACAAACTTTTAAGCTATTCACACAAGTATAATCAGAAGGTTAATTTTAATATTACAGTATTAAGAAAACGATCACAAATAGCAAGACTTACTTCACGTTTGATATATTTAAATCCTTTATCATCT